TACTACTTGATTAAAATTATTAAAACTATTACTTTTCGACAGGAAATAAGTTCTCACATCTTATTAACGTTGATCATTTGGTTTTTCATCACACATTCTCCACGGGAAATCCACCGTCAAGCAGAAAATTCATTTAAACCGTAGAAAATACGAAAACACGACAAAAAAATCTAAAGTCACAATTATTACATAATAGGTCTAATACATCACTATTTTGGTTGGTGCTCCTTTTATCTTGGGCTACTGTGTAAAATGTATTCCCATTTATCTCGTACCCTTTGTATATGAGGATATACCATGATGGCTTCCAAGCCAACAAATACAGTTGCTCATCAATACTCTCATCACCCTGACATTCTTTTCGCAACCAGTCGCTGAAAGTTTCCATGTGCTGACGTGTAATCCAAGCTTCAGACTTCCCTCAAAACTTGGATCGGAGCAACTCTTTATGTGTCTCGATATACGGATCCACCAAGGAGGAGTTTTCCAGAACTGTGTAGTGTGCTTTATTAAAATAATTGTCCTGCGTACCAATACATGTTTTCTTCCCTAGTGTCCCCTTTCCACTTAGTCTCCCCTCGTGTCGCGATTCAGGAACACCAATCGGGTCAAGGTCGGGAATAAAGTCAACACAAAACTCAATGACCTCCTCTGTTCCATAGCCCATGGCGATGCTTCCTTCTGGCCGAGCACGGTTGTGAACATATTTCTTTAGGACTCCCATGAACCTCTCAAAGAGGAACATGTTGTGCAGAAACATAGGACCGAGAATGCTAATCTCCTTGACCAGGTGAACTAGAAGGTGTGTCATGATATTAAAGAAGGAAGGAGGGAACACCAACTCAAAGCTGACAAGACATTGAACCACATCATTCTATAGTTTAGCTAGATCCATTGGATCGATTCCCTTCTGAGAAATTGCATTGAGGAATGCACATAGCTTCACGGTGGCTAGACGTACATTTGAAGGTAGAATTCCTCTTAATGCAACTGGAAGCAATTGCGTCATAAGCACGTGGTAGTCATGGGACTTTAAGTTTAGGAATTTCTTCTCTAGCACATTTATTATACCCTTTATATTCGAGGAGAATCCAGATGGTACCTTGATGCTTGCTAGGCATTCAAACATGCTTTCCTTCTCTTCTTTGCTAAGAGTGTAGCTAGCAGGAGTTAAGTAATGGCGTCCATCATCTGTCCTCTCTAGATGTAGGTTGTCTCGTTCTTTCAAACACCGCAGGTCCTGTCGTGCTTCAAGTGTGTCCTTAGGCTTCCCATACACACCCATGAAGCCTAGCAGGTTCACACAAAGATTCTTCGTCAGGTGCATCACGTCGATCGCGCTACAGACCTCTAGGACTTGCCAATAGGGTAGCTCCCAAAATATGGACTTCTTCTTCCACATGGGTGCGTGACCGTCGGCGTCGTTCGGAATAGGTTCGCTGCCATGTGCCTTTCCAAATACTACTTTCACATCCTTGACCATATTGAGTACATCCTCTCCAGTTCGGTTGCCCGGCTTGGTTTGGTGGTCTGCCTTACCTTTAAAATGCTTGCCTTTCTTTCTTAGGGGGTGATTCGCAGGAAGAAATCGACGATGGCCAAGGTACATGACCTTTCGACATTTTTTCAAGAATATACCTTTAATGTCATCGAAACAGTGCGTGCATGCATTATATCCCTTGTTTGATTGTCCTGAAAGATTACTTAGAGCAGGCCAATCATTGATTGTTACGAAAAACAATGCTCGCAGGTCAAAGTGCTCCTGTTTGTGCTCATCCCACACACGTACACCTGGTCTGTTCCACAAAAGTAGAAGTTCTTCAACTAGTGGCCTCAGGTACACATTGATGTCGTTGCCAGGTTGCCTTGGGCCTTGGATGAGCACTGGCATCATAATAAACTTATGCTTCATGCATAAGTAGGGAGGAAGGTTGTAGATACATAGAGTAACAGGCCAAGTGCTATGGCTACTGCTCTGCTCCCCGAAAGGATTCATACCATCCGTACTTAAAGCAAACCTTAAGTTTCTTGCGTCATTTGCAAACTCCAGGAATTCTCTATCGATTGCTCTCCACTGGGACCCATCAGCAGGGTGTCTCAACATATTGTCTACCTTACGGTCTTCTTTGTGCCATCGCAACAACTTTGCATGGTCTTTGTTTCTGAACAGACATTTCAAGTGTGGTATTATAGGAGCATACCACATAATCTTGGTAGGGAATTTCTTCGTGGGATGTTCGCCCTCAACATCACCAGGGTCAACTCGCCTGATCTTATACTGCGATGCATGACATACCGGGCATGCATCTAACTTCTCGTACTCCTCACCACGGTAGAGGATGCAGTCATTAGGACATGCATGTATCTTCTGAATTTCTAATCCCAAAGGACAGACTACCTGTTTTGCTTCGTACGTAGTGACGGGCAATTCGTTATCCTTCGGAAGCATCTTCTTTTGGATTTTCAGTAACTCCCCAAATTCCTTCTCAGATACACCATTCTTTGCCTTCCATTACAGCAATTCTAGTGTGGTACCCAACTTTTTCTGTCCTGCATCACAAGTTGGGTATAGCAATTTCTTGTGATCCTCTAGCATGCGCTCGAACTTGATCTTCTCCTTTTCACTTTGGCATTCTCTTTGTGCATCACGAATGGCCTAGCCAGGATCATCAGCGGGCTCATCTTCTGCCACTACCTCTTCTTCAGCTTCCCCCATTGCAGTATCATTGAAGGCACCATATTCAGCAATAATGTCATCATCGTCCCATTGTTCTTCTTCACCTTCTTCTATTACAACCCCGGTTTCTCCGTGCTTCGTCCAACAAATATAGTTTGGCATGAAACCCGACTTCAACAAGTGTGAATGAAGACTCCTTGAGCTAGCATATTCCTTCAAATTCTTACATATGGCACATGGGCAGCACATGAAACCATCGTGTTTGTTTGCCTCGGCCACACGTAAGAAAGAATGCACGCCCTCAATGAACTCTTGGGAGCGGCGATCAGCATTGTACATCCCATGCCGACTCATCTGCATTACATGACATACATACCATATTAAAACCTAGAACATAATTAGCTAATTATACGACATGCATGCCACCACATAAGGTATTAATTTATGAAAGTCTCGCTACAATGTAGACAATCCCAACTACTAGTAGAAAAACTAAAGCTAAAATGCACTTCAGCAGCATAAGGATTTCGCGACCAATCCCAACTAAAACAGACAGATCATGCATTTGTTCAACATCTATGGGCTTCTTCCACAAGATCACTGCCTCATCAGCCGTCGTAGCCGCCTGTGCAAGAGAGTTTTGCACGTGTTCAACATACTCTTCCTCCCAGTACCAGCCTGAACATCCAGTGCCATCCCACTGAAATTAAAACAAAAAATTAGAACTTTAATCACAATCATCATGAAAATAAGTATAAATTATCCATAATCATCAAATGCGACAAAATAACTCACATTGCGATCCGAACACTTGTAGAAGATACGGCCTTTGTTGGGACACTCCTTCCTCACCCGGTACTCCATCATAATCTTCTCCTCACACTTGCCGCATGCAATGAGAGAGAGGTCCGGCCTCAGTCGCTTTGGAACCCGATGAGAGGCCGAGGACCCAGAAGCAGTTGCCATCTACTCTCTATACTCATTTTTAATATAATATAAATTTCTCATTTTATAAACAAATAAAATTAAAAAAACTCTAAAATTCTCTATATCTCTAAACCATGAAGTTTGCTATGCATGCTAGAAATGAAAGCTTAATACTAGTTTTGAATAACTACTTTAACCTTCCTTCATCCAAATATGCAAACTTTAAAGTGATTTTGAGCTTAAATGGCTTACAAATAAAAAAATTCCACCATAAAAAACCACATATATCTAGTCTACAAAATGAGATATGCTACTGATAAAATATGAGAGTATAAAGTTGGTAACCTTTATAACCGAAGAATCGATGGAGGAATCGAAGAAAATCTTGTGATTACCGGCGATGAGGAAGAAGAGAGGCCGGCGATGAAGCAAGAAAACACTGAGCTCGAAGTGGCTCGGGCTCGGGGAGGAAGAAAGGCTATATAGGAGGGGAACTATAGTCCCGGTTGGAGACAGAAACCAGGACTAAAGGTCCCTTTCTAGTCCCGGACGGAGCCTCCAGCCGGGAGTAGACTTTTACTCCCAGTTGGAGGTAACAACCGGGAGTAAAAGTTAACCTCGGGACTAAAGGTCTCTCTACTCCCGGGCGCAAGAAATACCAGGACTAAAGCCAAATTTTGAGGCGGGATCAAAGGTCGTTTCCCTACCAGTGTCTCTACTAGTTGTATAGTATTTAAAACAGGAATCCTTGAACAGGCTTTGGGCCGCCCATGATAGAAACGTCTCCATGATGCTATGTGTTTTTTTTGAACGGTACTACTCCAACCGTTCCGAATCTTGGTTCTATATATATATATATATATATATATATATATATATATATATATATATATATATATATATATATATATATATATATATATATATATATATATATATATATATATATATATATATATATATATATATATATATATATATATATGTAACGAGTGGGCTATATCATCACATTTAATTTGTGTTTACATGACATGTCAACTTTTATACTATCAGTTGCATCGACTACACGATAGCCTGTTATTATTGTAGTATATTATTACAAAATGAATGTAGATATACTATCAGTTGCATCGACTAAACGATAGCCTGTTATTATTGTAGTATATTATTACAAAACGAATGTAGATATACTATCAGTTGCATATATTGACTGATTGATCTGGGGAGCAGCCGGCCCGCCCACACGGTATATGCATATAGATACATGTATCTCTTTTCACTGATAATAATAAGGAGAAAGTCAATGCAGCAGGTCTCATGCTGTAGTTTGATATATATGGGTGCAGCAGGTCGCAGGCAGCTTAATTGGAAGGCCGCCCGCTCTGGTGGATCGATCATGTTCTGGCTCGGAATGATGCTGACCATGATTTTGGCACAGTCGGTGCAATGGTGGAGCGAATGGGGGTTCCGGATCACTGTCGTCTCGAGCTTAGGGGCAAATCTTGTCGTCGGCATCCTGTCCGGGACACGGCGGCGCTCGGCGGCCCGCTGGTTGTGGGCGTTACTAGGCGAGGTGGCTAAGTTGTTCGTCTGGCTTGCGTACCAGGTCGCTGAGGCAGCGGCGACGAGCGCACTCGGCAGCCTGTCCCTCTGCGGCTCCGATGCGTCGGAGGAGGAGAAGCAGGTGGTCGCGTTCTGGGCCCCGTTCCTCCTGCTGCACCTGGGCGGCCCGGACAACCTGACCGCCTACGCTCTGGAGGACAACAAGATCTCCAACCGCAAATGGCTTGAGATAGGCGTTCGGATTCTGGTGGTCATTTATACCATCAACAACAACACACATCGCGGCGGCCGCAGCTGGGCTCTGCTGCTCGCGGCGTCCGTCGTCATGCTCGTCGCCGGCGTCGTCAGGTACGTGGAGAGGGCTTACGCCCTACGGAAAGCCAACTTGGATAGCATGCAGGAGGACGCCTCGTCAAGCAGCAGAAAGGACGACTTTAAGATGCTGAAATGCAGAATCAAGAGGGCGAAGAGGCAGGGGCAGTTGTTCCGCGACGGAGAAGCGCTGCTCCTTGCTCAGGATCTGTTCCCCATCTGGCGCCATGCCCTGGTCGGTTCTTCTGTCGATCCAGCTTCTATTTCACCAAGGCAGGAAGCCAGCGAGATGATACTCTCGGAGTGGGACTGGGAGAGCATGTGCATGGTGGCCGAGATGGAGCTGTCCCTCATCTACGAGTTCCTCTACACCAAGGCGATCCTTGCACACACCTGGCACTACTACCTCATCCGCTTGTTGTCGCCCCTCTTCACTGCTGCTGCCGCATTTCTCTTCTGCTTCTGGCTTCATCCTGATAAGCAGCAGCAAGGCGATGATGGCCACCGGGTCAGGGGATCCTTTGTCGGGATCACCTACGCCTTGCTGGCCATTACCTTCCTCATGGATGTGGCATGGCTGCTGAGAGCCCTCGGGTCGACATGGGCGTACGCCTACTTCCAGGGCGCCGGAAGAAGATGGTGGTGCAGCATCCACCGCATCGTCGTCCGCCTGGACCCGTTGCAGCTATTCTGCCGCGATCCGGTCAGCCACAGGCGGTGGTCGGGCACCATCGGCCGGTACAACTTGCTGGACGAGTGCACTGCCACCCCTACGACTCGTCCAGAGTGGTGGCCGGTGTCCATGCCTGGAGACGACAGACCCAAGGAGTTGCGGTATCTGTCTAAGCTTCCTCAATGCGTAAAGAAAGTGCTGTTCGAGCGAGTGACGGAAATATTGCAGCAGGCCATTAATACTGAGGAAAAACAAATTGGTCAGGAGAAGGAGAAGGAGAAGGAGAAGGAGAAGGAGGAGGAGGAGAAGAAGATGTACACCAGGTTCGACATCAGGACACACTGGGGCCACAAGGCCTTCCGCCGTGCACCTGAGGAAGTCAAAAACAAATTCAAGACACACTGGGGCCACAAGGCCTTCCGCCGTGCACCTGAGGAAGTCAAAAACAAATTCAAGCCATTCCGCATGGAATTCGAGGAGGACGTCCTCTTGTGGCATATCGCCACCTACATGGTCCTCCCGGGCATCCAAAACGGACAGAAAGGAAGGAGAAGAATACTTGCGTGGGCAATTGAGGTGATGTCGGAATACATGATGTTCCTTGTTGCTGTTCGCCGACAAATGCTACCTGGCCTTGTCCTCCACAGCCAGTTACAGGTAACAAAGCAGCAGAAAACCCGCGACATATTGGTTCAAATATGGAATCGAGGTGAGGGTATTAAAAAAGAAGAGCTTGCCATGATCCTGCGACGCGTAAGGATCGTGGAGCCCGAGGCGACTGTGCCATTGAGGGATCAAATTCGAGGCGACGAAGGTACGCGACTTCTCATGCATGCAGTAGACCTTTATTTTTGCCTATCAGGCGACAAGCCAACTACAGTAGAAAGCGGAGCTGCCCCGCGGGTACCAGATGAGATGCTGGAGTTCATCTTCAATGTGTGGGTGGATAAGCTGGTGTACACGGCCGTCCGGTGCAGCACGGAGGCCCATGCCAAGCAGCTCAGCGCCGGTGGCGACCTCACCACCGTGCTGTGGATGCTCATCCAACATGCTGGCCCGTTTTGCATTGGAGAAGAAGAAGAAGAAGAGTAACAAAGAACATCTACAACGTCCCGCATGCGAAGCCTAAGGAGGCGGAGGAGAAGAAGAAGAAGGATGACGCGAAGCCACCGCCTCCGCCTCCGTGCTGTCCTGTGTGCCCTGCGTACTACCACCCATCATACCCCCCGTGTGCCCTCCATACTACGGCCCATCATGGCCCCCCGTGTGCCCTTGGTACCCCCAATGTCCCCCGCAACATGAGAGACCAGGAGACGAACCTGAGGAAGCCAGAGAAGATAAACACGAAGATTCTTCTGATGATGATGATGAGGATTCCGAATCCGAAGAATAATATGTTACATTATTGTATTGTATTGTATTGATGCCCTTGAAGGGGAGTCCAAACTATGTATAATAATATATGGCACTAGAGGCCTCTTATACTTTTGTGCAGAATCAAGTTGTATGGAATGATGAAGTTCGGATATAATACATGTGTTTAATTTGATAAAGCTAGCACAGAACAAACTCTATGCATCTTTCGAGCTGTTTGGTTTGCAAAAATGTAACGTATACATTACCTTTACACCTGTTTGCTTCCTACGGTCTGTAACCATTTCCATATAAAGCTAGCTGGCAACCAAGCATCCCTAGCTTCGATTACACTATTATCTGATTCCATTTCCCATTGCATTATCACTCACTGAACCAAAGAGCACCTTTTTTCTTCTTATTGATAAATGCGTTAGTGATACACACACACCACACCTGGATGCATTCCCTAGTTTCAAACTTTACACCATACCAAAACATAGCCTTTGCTCCACCAGGAATATCAGATAGATCAATGACCCAACTGTGTCTTCCCCTTTATCGATTTTCTCCAGGATACTATACGCTTCTCCAACAGACCACTTTTTGACTACAGAGGGAACTGAAATAGCCACCCAAAATCAAAGAAATTAGTAAACCAGTTGCATGCATGAAAAATGAAAAATGGTGTCAAACAAAGAAACAGCTGCATGAATCATTATGGTGAAAGATTACCTTGTGAAGATGGAAAGACTGCTCCCCGACTACCACAGCTATATCGCTAGGAAGACCAGATGTGCAATACCTGCGTAATGGACATACCTGTTATTAGTATTTTTTTCCCCTTTGGACAACTCAATTTATAGTAAAACATGTACTTGGACAACTTTAACAGACAGACATGCATGAAAATAAGTAAACTTATTTCAGTAAAACGACCAATCCTAAGAAGGATCCACAATAGACATTATGTTATGGTATCCCTGGTCATGGAACTTCAAAAGGAGTGAATTTTCGAACACCATGAAGCTATCAAGGTCAGCTATTTCGGAGGAAAGGAGAGGGAGGAGAGAGAATAAATTTAATGTTTTATTGATTAATTGCTGAACATCAATACTATTGATTGATAAATTTTAAACTAGTTAAGATTCACTGAGGCAATGGTCGCATTAGTTCTGAATAATATATTTCTCCAACAAACGATCGTTCTTAAAAGTTTATTAGTCATTGGACTAGCTACAGCAATAAGTTATCTCAAGTAGCAGACTTGCAGTAGTGTATTTACACACACTGCAGGGCCAGAATATGGCGGTATCAGCCACAGAGTACTCAATGTAGCGTGTTAACAGGGCAGAGTGTCAAGGAACAATTTTAATTGGTTAATTTAGTGCTCACCATGTGCACACTTACAAGTGTGAACATAATTGGAGCCCCAAAAGTCAAGGGGGAATCGCATCTGTAAATACTAAATCTAGGACAAGATTTTCTGCAGTGTACGCGTCCTATAGTGAAGTGGATCATATCAAGAACACAGCCAAGCAATGCAATGAACTATGACAACTAAGAGAGGTGGGATCAGAATGCAAAATCCTATTGATGACGGTATTTTTGTTGAAGTATCGAGAAGCCAACGCTTCCCTCTAATCCTCATTTGATCCCCTTGCAAAAAACTGCCCCGGTAGGGTAACTCCATGCAGGCCATGGTCCTTCCCCATGTGTAAGGGGTCTCCATATATGGCATTCTCATGGACCAGTCCTTGCTGTCTTTATAATATTTCTAGCAAAAACGTGAGTGGTCACATGCTTGCTACAGCATAGATGGCAAGCCCCTAGTATACAATACTAGGTGTGGGCAAGCACTGATATCTTGGAGGTATGCAAACCACTACTACAGAAAAATTTTATCGAGGCAGGCAAAAAGGATTAACCAAGGCGAGCATCGCAACCGCCTCGGTGCAAATGTCAGAGTAAATGGGACCTTTTCTAAGGTGGTTGGATGCCCGCCTCGGTAAATCGAATAAAAAAACAAAAAAAAAATAGAAAACCCGTGGATAAGCCCGCCGAGCCCATCCACGGGCCGCCGCCGCCGCTAGCCAGATCTGCGCGTTGTCGCTGTCACCGTCGCTAGATCCGGTCGCGCTCGACCTCGATCCACCGCCGGGGGACGCCACTGCCTGGATCTGCCGCCAGAGGACGAGCCCGCACTGGATCCACCACTGGGGGGCGCGGCCGACCTCGATCCACCGCCAGAGGAGCTCGCTGTGCCTTGAGCTCGCCGGATCCGCTCTGCCTCGGGCACGCCGGATCCGCCGCTGCTGTTGCTCCGGGAAAGACGACGCGCCGCCACCGGATCCGGAGGGAGGAGGGCCGCGCCACCAAAGCCGCCATGAGCCACCAGATCTCCCGCCTCAGATCCGGAGGGAAGAGGGCCGTCGTTTCCACCGGATCCCCGGCTCGGGTTCGCTCCGGAGGGAGGAGGGGAGGGGAGGGGGCGCCACCGGGAGGGGAAAGGGAGAGTGTGGCGCGATGGGGAGGGGGCGCCGCCAGGAGGGGAAGGGGAGAGGGAGAGGAGCCGGTGAGAGAGAGAGGGAGGCACCGTTTGGTGTGGGAGAGGGGCGCTGGGGCGCTTGGCGCGGGAGAGTGGCGCTCGGCGCGGATGAGGGATGAGTGAGGCCCGGTGTGAGAGAGAGAGGAATGAATGAGAAACCCTAATATCCTGTATTTATACTGCTTCCAGCTATTGGGCCTCGCCTGCGCCTATTGGGTTTGGCCATATTAACCGAGACGGGCCTTATAAGAGGCCCGCCTTGGAAAATGGCCTGATTTCCCCGGTTAATAGATTTTAGTTAACCGCCTCGATTAATCCAAGCATTAACCGAGGCGGTTGAAATGTCTGCCTGCTTCCGAGACACTTTACCAAACGCTGCGCAAAAGAATTTGTGTAGTTGTGAACCTCACTAAACACTAGATCTAAGCCTAATGCAAGTTCTAAAGTGGTAATCGAACTAGCCTAAGCTCTTCACAAAGCACCTACATTGATTACTTAAGTATTCCTAAAGCACTTTGGTGGCTTGAGGAAATAGAGATGAGACACGACTCATTAGTAGCTTCCTTGAGTTTGGACACAACCATTGGAGATATATATAGCCCCAACATCCAAAACTAGCCATTGGAAGCAGACTGCACATGCTCAGTAGTCACCGAAGAGCTTCATTAGTGTCACCAGAGAGATCCGGTGCCACCACATAGACTATCCATTGGAATTCTTCCTACTATAAAGCTCTAGTGGGAACTTCGGTGACGCCACACCAAAGAGATTCGTTGGATTGTCTAGTTCTTCAATTCTCCTCTGGACGGCACCTTAACCGATGACTTGCACCAGAGATATCTTGTGCTCTCTACCTGTTGCCCCAACGCTGTGCAACCCTCTTTCGGCTGTAACTCTGGTGCCTCAGCTCTGATGCCACTAGAGGGTTCCGGTGCATATAAAACAATAGCTGCTTCAGATATAGCCTTCACCTTAACTTCGGGTGCTTCACTGTATCACTACTGCCATATACATGTTTCCCTACCATTTTTTTCTTTCCCTTGGAAAATAAAAGTATCATAGGGAATATTTTTTTCCCTAGGGTAACAATGGACAACCGTAGGGGAATCCAGCTTTCCCTAGGAATCTAATAGTTTCAGAGGGACACGGATCGTACCATAAGGAAAGTGAGTGGCGTGAGTTGAAAAATTTTTGGTTGGCCGCCAAAACCTTACCGCCATTCATGCTAGAATTTTTCGTGTCTACTATGTTAAAGCAAACTTCATCTCTACCTCCCCCACGCTCTCTCCCATTCCTTTCTCAGCTTGTACCATGTCATTGTCCTTAATCCAGAGAAGCCGAGCTGCAGTGGCGACGCCGTCGAGGAGTGGCAGAGCCAATGCGGCGAGGGCCGAGTTGCGGCGACGAGCCAACGACATCGCACAGGCCACGGGTCGAGGAACAGCGGTGGCATCATGAGGGCAAGTAGCTTGGAGGCTGCCTGCGATGGCATCATCACATGGGCATCACATGGACCAAGCGGAGGCGGTGTCACGTAGGACGAGGGATAGCGGGTCAGTGGCGGAGGTGGCAGCGTCGTGTGAGTCGAGCAGCTATTGCGATGTGCGCACCGAGCTCCAATAAGGCGCTGTCGGGCTGGTGGAATGACGGACGTGGTGACGAGCTCCATGGCGCTGTCGGGCACGTGGAACAGCGGACATGGTGGCGAGCTCCGTGGCACCGTCGGGCAGCCAGAGCGGTGGAGGCCATGTGCGTGCACGGAGTGGCAGAGACGGTGTGCAAGGCTGCATGCCGTCAGGCTGCTCGGTTTCTATTTCTTCCTTCTTGCACCTATGCTTGTATACGAGTATACTTATACATGTATACCACCTTAGGGTGGGTCCACTAGGTCAACCCTATGTGGTTAGCCATGGTAGGGTACTTGGCACACACATCAAACAACTTGCTTTTGTAAAGGTTGGATAATTAATCATTAACAAATCATGAGAACCAATAAGAAGCAACTCAGGCCTTGTTTAGATTGAAGAAAATTTCAACCCGATGAATAGTAGCACTTTCGTCTTATTTGATAAATATTGTCCAATCGTAGACCAACTAAGTTCAAAAGATTCATCTCGTGATTTCCAACTAAACTGTGCAATTAGTTATTTTTTTTACCTACATTTAATGCTCCATGCAAGCGGCTAAAAAT